TGCACTAATTTACAGACCCACTAACAGCATTCTCACCATTTCTATGCAACATTCTACTAGAGTTTATACTAAGAGGTTTCATGCAATTAAGCAAGAAAGTGAAATAAACAGCATTCAGATTGGAAAGTAAGTAAAACTGTGTCTATTCACAGATGAAAGTATCTTATATATGGAAACCACTAAGGAATCCACTATTAGAGGTAATGAATGAATTCAGCAAGATTGCATTGCAGTATACAAGATCAATATGCAAAAAAAAAAAAAGAAAGAAAGAAAATCAGTTGTATTTCTGTCCACTAGCAATGAACAATCCAAAAATTAAAATAATTCTATTTACAGTAACATTAAAAAAAAGCAAAAACAAAACCTAGTTTCCTAAAACATTGTTAAAAGAGATTGAGACCTAAATAAATGGAAAGACAGCTTTTGCTCATAGATTAGGTTCACAGTTCTCCAGTCTATGAACACCAGATGTCATTACAACCCAAAATAATCTACAGGTTCACTGCAATACCTATCATAATGCTAACTGCCTTTTTTGTAGAAATTGACAAGCTGATCCTTAAATTCATGTGGTAGTACAAGTAACCCAGAATAGTTAAAACAACCTTGAAAAAAAGAAACTTATTATATGCACAGTTAAATGACCCATACACAGAATTACTACAGAGCTACAATAATCAATCAAAACAGTCTGATATTGGCATATATATCAATGGAATAGAATTGGGGGTCCAGAAATAAACATCAAAGTTCAATTGATGTCAACAGAAGTGCCAAGTTCATTCAGTGGGAAAAGAATAATCTTTTCAACAAATGGTGCTGGGGTGACAGGATAGCTATGTGTGAAATTGGATATCCATATACAAAAAAAACTTAAAATGGATCAAAGACCTAGATATAAGAGCTAAAACTATAAAACACATAGAAGAAAACAGAAGTGTAAGTATTCACGCTCCTGGATTAGGTTATGGTTTCTTGGATATGACCAAAAGCATGACCAACAAAAGAAAAAATAAATTGGACTTTATCAAAAGTTAAAACTTTATTCATCAAAGGGCACTATCAAGAAACTGAAAAGATAATCCGTCAAGAGTATGAGGAGACAAGCCACAGACTAGGAGAAAATAATTACAAAAGACATGTCTGATAAAGGACTATTATCCAAAATATACAAAGAACTCTTAAAACTCAACAATAAGAAAACAACCCAACTAAAAAAATGCCAACCCCCCCAAAAAATCTGAACAGACACCTAACCAAAGAAGATATACAGATTGCAAATAAGCATGTAAAAACATGTTCAACATCAAATGTCATTTAGAAATTGCAAATTAAAACAACAAGGAGATACCACTATATACCTATTAGAATAGCCAAAGTCCAGTGCACAACACCAAATGCTGGCAAGGATGTGGAGAAACAGGAAATCTCATCATTGCTGCTGGGAGTACAAAATGGTAAAGCCACATTGGAAGGCAGTTTGGTAGTTTCCTACAAAATTAATCATACTCTTACCATATAATTCAACAATTGTACTACTTTGCTATTTACCAACGTGAGCTGAAAACATGTCCACACAAAAATCTGCACACAAATGTTTATAGCAGCTTTATTCATAATTGCCAAAACTTGGAAGCAACCAAGATGTTCTTCAGAGAATGGAAAACTGTGGTACATCCAGGTAATGTAATATTCAGTTCTCAAAAAAATGAGTTGAAAAACCATGAAAAAACATGGAAGAACCTTAAATGCATACTACTGAGTAAAAGAAGCCAATCTGAATAAGCTACATATGCAGTGATTCCAACCATATGACATTCTGGAAAAGACAAAACTGTGGAGATGATAAAAAGATTAGTTGTTGTTGAGGGTTTGGGCAGGGGGAGGGCAGAGCACAGAGGATTTTTAGGGCAGCAAAAACTATTCTGCATGATACTATAATGGTGAATACATGTCATTATACATTAGTCAAAACTCACAGAATGCATACCACCAAGGATGATCCCTAACGTAAAATATGGACTTGGGGTGATAATGATGTGTCAGTGTAAGTTCATCTATTTTAACAAATGCACCACTCTGGTGTGGGACGTTGATAGTGGAGGAAGCTGTGCATGTGAGGGGGTAGAGGTATATGGGAACTCTGTATTTATTTATTTTTATCTTTTTTTGCTTTTTACACTTGAGAATATCCTTGTATTTTCTTTTTCTTGTTTTCTTTTTTTCTTTGTTTTTTACAAGTGAGGGAATGCTGTGCTTTCTGCTCACTTCTGCTGTGAACCTAAAAAATAAGGTCTACTAAAGATAACATAAACCCCAGAATTGGAGAAAATACTTACAAAGTAAGAGTCTAGCATCCACGATTTGTAAAGAACTCTTACAATTCAACAGCAACAAAACCCAACTTTTTTGGGGGGCCGGCCCGTGGCTCACTCGGGAGAGTGTGGTGCTGATAACACCAAGGCCACGGGTTCGGATCCCATATAGGGATGGCCGGTTTGCTCACTTAGTGAGCGTGGTGCTGACAACACCAGGTCAAGGGTTAAGATCCCCTTACCGGCCATCTTTTTAGGAAAAACAAAAAACAAAAAAACTCAACTTTTTTAAATGAGCAAAAAAATTGAATAGACATTTCTCCAAAGAAGATAGACAAATGGCCAATAAGCATTTGAAAAGAGCCTCAACATTATTAGTCATTAGGGAACTGTAAGTCAAAACCACAGTGAGATACCACTTTCAGCCCATAGAATGGCTATTTCAGCCCATAGAATGGCTATAATTAAAAAAATAACAAAAAGCAGGAAATATCAAGTATAGTGAGGAAGTAGATAAATTGGAACCTTTGTACATTGCTCATGGGAATGTAAAATGGTATAGCTACTGTGGAAAACAATTTGTCAGTTCTTTAAAAAATTAAACATAGAGTTACCATATGACACAGCAGTTCTTGTCCTAGGTATATACCAAAGAGAATTGAAAACATACTTGTACACACAAACTGTACAAGTATGTTCATAGCAACATTATTCATACTAGCTAAAAAATAGAAAGAATGAAATATTCAGCCATAAAAAGTAATGAAGTATTGATACATGCTACAACATGGATTAACTGTGGTAACAGTATGCTAAATGAGAGAAACCAGACTGAAAAGGGCACATACTATATGATTACATTTATTTGAAACGTCTAGAATAGGCAAAAACCATAGAGACAGAAAGTAGATTACTGGTTGCCAGGTGCTGGATGGGGAAAGGGAGAGTCAGAGTGACTGCCATCAGTTACAAGGTTTTGGGGTGGGGAGATCATGAAAGTGTTCTGAATTCGATAGTGGTAATCAGTGAGTAACATTGTGAATATCCTGAAAATACTGAATTGTACATGTCAAACGGGTAAATTTTCTAGTATGCGAACCAGGGCCCCTTGGAGAATGATTACAGGTCTAGGGTAGTAAATGTACAAGGTAAGTATAGAATATCTTATCACCAGAAAGTAACAAAGCTCCCAAAGACTGCTAGAGTCATGTCAAAGGGATTCAGGAACCAATTCGAGGAGAGACCCCCACTGGCCACAGATTAGACAGTCTGAACACCAAAAGTATAATACAAGGGTACATCAAAAAGTTCATGGAATGGGCTGGCCCGGTGGCGCACTGGATAGTGCGCCGCTTGGGAAGCGCGGCGGCGCTCCCGCCGAGGGTTCGGAACTACCCTTGTAAGTGCAATAGATTGAAGCATATCAAATATGCTTAAATCCAGTAATTTATAATGATACTTTAAAAAAACAGCCCGCCCATTGACCATCTTCAAAGGATATGGGGAACCAATTCAGTGTTTTAGAAATTGGTAAGTAAAGGGAAGGAACCAGATAGTGAGCGTGAAGTTTCTCTTTGGATAGAAGAATTCTACCTAATTGATGAAGGAGGAATGATAGCATTTACAACCCTAATGAAATAATATTGACAGTGTTCATCGGTGGCTGTTAATACCACAAAAAGAGAACCTTGTCCCACATAATGGGACAGGTCCTTCTGCCAAAAAGAAAATATCCAACACCTAACTCTGATCGTGCCTCTATGTTTAATGGCCAATTTATAGGAAATACCTATAATATTTCCCATATGTTCAGGTCAAGGGAACATGTTAAATGATACCATGGGTATGTAATCAAGAAAATCTAGACCAAGGAAGCCACAGGCCAAATGGCCTGATTTTTTTTTTCCAAAAAATAAATGTTAAAATAAAAAAGGAAAAAAGAGCAATAACAACATAAATGGGGAGTATTGATTGGAGTTCAAAGTTCCAGGGATCTTGTGTTATTTAGAAGGGTAAAAATATTGATTCACATAAGTTTAAGTTAAATGTGCTCTTTAAAATTCTTGCCAACCACTAAAAGAATAGAAAGAGTGTTCAATTTCCAAGTTAGTGGATGGGGGTAAAAAAGAGCAATCAATTAAGGAAAAGAAAAGAAACATTGAAAAGGTGAGACATGGGCCGGCCCGGTGGCGCACTGGATAAGTGCGCCGCTTGGGAAGCGCGGCGACGCTCCCACCCGAGGGTTCGGATCCCACATACAGACCGGTTCCCGCTCACTGGCTGAGCGAGGCGCGGGAGCAACCCCGAGGCTTGCAATCCCGTTGCCGGTCCCCGGTCCGGTACGGGGGCAACACTGAGGGTTGCGATCCGTTGCCGGACACGGAAAAAGACAAAAGACAAAAAAAAAGAAAAGAAAAGGTGAGACATAAAGAAGCTGTAAAATAAGATAATAAATATAAATCCAAATATATCATTCCCAGTAAGTATAAATGGACTAAATTTCATAAAGTTGAAGATTGGCAGCCTAGAAAAGAAAATTCAGTACATAATTGTTCTTTCACATGAGACACGTCTAAAACATTACAGAAAGGTTGAAAGTAAAAGAATGGAAAGCACAAAGTTGGGAAGCTAGTCTGCTGTCTCTAGAGAGGGCATGAAGAATTCATTTTTTTCTGTTTTCAGGTTAAAGAAGAAGGAGTTTAGTTTAGAAGAAATATATACCAACAAGAATTATAAGTCTCCTCCGGCAAATAGGTATGTACATACAGCTGGGAAATATTAGAGAGGGAAAAATTCTGAAATGATTGATGTGAATTTCAGTCCTTTCACTTCAGAAAGAGGTTATGTTCAGTTCTGCCAATATCGGTACATAGAAATAACTAGAATTGGTATTTTTTGTTCCCAACACTTGAATTGGGGTTGGTGATAGGATGGGAAAGAAATGTGTGTTGGGTTAGATAGATATAGAAAATGTAAAATGTAGTATCCTTTTAGTTTGCACTTGTGTTTTTACAAAATGTGCCAGCTGCCTTCTTCAGGACTAATAATCATTGATCTTCAAATATGGTTCCAAACCCAAATACAGAAGCAATTTCACTTGGCCACCCTTGGGTCTGAATTCAGTTCAAGTCAGTGAACATTTAGTAAATGCCTGTTGTGTCTAAGATGTAGCAGGAAAGTTCTAGGATTTTGTCATATGATTTTGTATGTGTGCTCTAAGACATTTGTACAAGACTGATAATTACAGCATTGCTAAATAAAAGGAAAGGATTGGAAACAACCTAAAATATCCATTACTAAGGTTCTCATTAGATTATGAACCATCCTGGGCTGGCCAGTTAGCTCAGTTGGTTAGAGCATGGTGTTATAACACCAAGGTCACAGGTTCAGAACCTTGCACTGGCCAGCCACCAAAAGGAAGAAAAAAAAATTATGATCCATTCTTAGAATGGAATATACTGTATAACTGTTAAAAAATAAGTCAGATACCTGTGTACTAAGTTGGAACAATCTTTAAAGGGTATTGATCTGTGAAAGAAGCACAGTTTATAGGACCGTGTATGTAATAACAGAGACCTGTGTGGCTTACAGAGTTTAAAATGTTTACTATCTGGGCCTTTACAGAAAAGCAGTGACCATTGATAATATATGCTTATTTATGCATGTCTATAAATTAAATGAGAGAATGCACAAAACAGTGTTATTGGGGTTACCTATTGGTGGAGGGGTGGGGTTGGTTTTTCTTTTATTCTATACCCATCATCTAGTTTGAATTTTTTTTTACTATGTGCATGTAGTGCATATTCATAAAAACTTATGTGGGTTTTTTTCTATATGAAAAAAAAAAATAAAATGAAACAATTGAGGAAGAAGTTGTTAGTGTATCTAACAGTCCCTGTTGACTAGAAGGGTTGGTGACCCAGGAGATGAGCCATGTGAGTCAGTCTGTTGCTGATTCTGTTTTGTGTTCTGTCCTTAGGTGTTTAGAGACTATCTTTGAGGAACCCAAGGAACGAAATGGTACGCTAATTTCAATCAGCCAACAAAAGAGGAAGCGAGTTCTAGAATTTCAGGATTTTACAGTCCCACGAAAGAGGAGAGCTCGAGGTAAAGTCAAGGTGGCAGGCAGCTTTACCAGGGCCCAGAAGGCAGCTCTGCAGAGTCGAGAGTTGGATGCTCTTTTGATACAGAAACTAATGGAACTGGAAACCTTCTTTGCCAAGGAAGAGGAACAGGATCAATCATCAGGATGTTGAGAAGCAATTCAGTTTGGGGGTCTTAATTTTAGATTTTTTTTTTTTGGACCTCCTTGGAAGAGGTTGCCTAATTTTGCCCTACAACCCAAATCACTCAAAATGCACAGTCCATGAATTTTTACCTATTTCAAAGTGCAACCTTTTTAGGAACTGGTAAAGGAGAGTCCTCTAATTCTACTGCTTAGTATAGAACCTCAGGAATGCTCCCTTTCTCCTGGAAATGCTCCTGAATGACATCTGGCCTCCTCCTCCTCAATCTTTGCCATCCACAGGAGGAAAAAGCAGCATGTCTTAAGTAACACTATGATTCCAAGGATTCACAGCATTTGCACGTCCATATGAAAGTTCCACTTTGTTTACAGTGGTGCTAGACCAAGATTATCTAGAAACATGGCCTAGGGAGGGGAAATTGGCATCCTGTCCTGTGTGGTCTCACTGGCTCATTTCAGTAGTTGAGCAAAGATGAGCTGTTGTGTTTTCTAATCCTTTGAGTCTGTCTGCCCAGAACCTGTTGGTGTGAGGTTGTGTGTGTGAGTGCGCATGTGCGCGAGCTCACGTGGCTTTTTCCCTTCGTTTTCTCCCCTCTGTGACTGTGGGTCACTAGTGCCAGAGGAGCCCATCCAGGCCCCGTTTGAAGTAAGTTGCACTTTTTAATGTTGTGGTGTTATTTTCATTTGTTTTATTTCCTTTTATTATTATTATTATTATTATTGCTGCATGTTTGGAGCCTTTAAATGTGATTTTAAAACAATTTTTTGAAGACATTAAGGAGAAGGACAATACGTGTCTTAAGAATACATAATAGGCATTCGACCCAGTTGATCAGTGCGTGGAAGAGACATTTTCTCATTCCTGTGTTTCAAGCAGTCCCTTCCCCATCTCCAACTTCTAGTGTAGCTCATTAGAGGGAGCACTTTTTTCGTCTAGGTTCTCACTCTTGCCTACTAATTATGTGTATTTAGTGATGTAAGAGCAGGTTTCTCTCCTGATCATGTAAAAAATACCAAGGTTGGGTGTGGTCTCCATGGGTTTTATCTGAAATGGTGGTATGAAACAAAGTTGGGTACAACAGCTCGGGTAGTGACTAAGGGCCACCCAGAGTGTTTGCAGCTATCAGAGCAGCCTGCTCCAAGAGTGGAGAGAGATTCAGGGTAGTTGCTCAGACCCAGTAATGCATTCTTGTGGGATCATGAAACTCCACTGGCAGCATTTACTGAGGGCACCTCACTGCACTCTGGGCTCCTGTGTCAAACCTCCTGGAAATGTTGTCAACTTTCAGAATTAATTGAGTTTCTGGGTGCCTACAAGAGCCTGTGGGCAGGGGGATGCAGCGTGAGTCAGCAGGCACCGGGGTCTCATTCCTTTCCCAGTGGATCTGTGTACCCCGCCCTGCTCCCCCTCCTCTCCTTCCTTTGTGGTTTATCTTTTCTCTCTCTCTCTCTCTCTCTCTCTCTCTCTCTGTCTCTCTCTCAAAACAAGAGTTTAAAGAATTAACATTCCTTGACTGGTGACTAGGATGCTAAAGCCAGCCTCAGGACACTGGTCATCTCTTCCCATCCTCCTAGGAGCCACTGCCATGAAGCAGCCATCGGTGGGAGCTGCAAAAGCTCCAGAGACATTTTCAAGTCAGTCTATTAGAGGAGAGTGAGTGGTGCCATCCTGGGTTGTGGGCCAACTCTCCTAGGTTTCTTTTGTTTCCCCATTTGTGAGTGGGTGGGGAGATGGGGTGGGGGTGGGGGTCTCTATGTGCCTTTCCTTTGCAGATTGACAGTCTTTGCTACACTGGAGCAGAAAAACTGACATGAGAAAAATAGTGCCACATCTTCTTCTAGGCTCACAACCTCAGACATTGCGTTTGGAGAAATAACATACACTCCTGGTAATCCACAGAGGCTCCTAAGGCTATGGCCAAGTAGGATTAGAAGAGAGCCAAGTTTCCACACTGGCTCTGAATGATGCTAACCAGATTCTGCTATTCTACATCCACTTTGTCCAGACTGTATAGACACGACCTGTGTTTCACCTCAGTACCTCTCCCTTCCTGGGACAGGGTTCTTAGACACTAAAAGCTTCTCTCTGTCTTTTTACTTAAGGGAGGGGGATGAGTAATACTTTGTGTCCTTGTACAAACATGTTTAAGGAGTCCTGCTGTTCAGCTCGCAAACTAGCAATGAGTCGGCAGAGCCCTGTTTGCCAGCTGCATTGCCAGTGTGGACAGATCAGCAACGTGGTAGCCATGTCACCCCGCAGACGAAAGTTGAGGTGGGTACAGCTGTGGTACCACCAACTCGACAGATATAATTTCAAGTTTGCCTGTTATAGGCATGGCACTTGTGTAAGGGCCAGGAGCAGTGATTTGGAACACTGGCATCTGGGAACACAGGATAGAAGAGAGAGACTTGGGCTTCTTCCTTGTCCTGGGAATGCAAGGAAGAAGCTACTCTGAGGCCAGTCCTGCCTGTCCTTAAAATTCTTGGCCTACCCTCTAGCTAGGGCCCTTCTGCTGCTCCAAACTTAAGAAGGGGCCCCCATTGCAAACTTGAAATTCCTTACCTGAAGTGGATACATCTGATTCTAGCCAAGCTCAGCCACACAAGTCTTAACATCCAGTTTCACCACTTTCCTTGCCAACTGCAGGACCATCAGTGGTCCTTGGGGGCCTGTGGTCCCTGACCATGATGGGACACATTAGTCAGCTGCTGGCATGCCACCTACCCAGAGCTACAGGAGGTCTGGTTTGGGGGTGGGAGTTGGTACAATTTCTGAGTATGGGGACTTCCCACCCCACGTGGTAGGAAGTTATAGTTAACTACAACTTACTCAACCATAACTCACCTCCAGAGGTTTAGTGTTTTTAATATGGGAAACAGGAGAAATCTCAGGTCCAATCAGGGTTCTGCCCATCAGCTTTTCACTGAAACGTTCAACTATTTTTTTTTTTCTTTTCATCTTTCAGTTTCTAGCTATATTTCTCCCCCACCCTCATGTCCCTTCCTCTTTTTTTTTTTTCCTTTTGGTCTTTTCAGCTCCATTTCTCCATTAGTTTGAACATACCTCATCACCTATTAAAGCAGATTATGTCCACTTTTTCTTACTGACCTTACTCTAAGAGCTACAGCTGAGGGAGGTACAGTGAAAAGACATGTAGCGTTTGCCTTAATCGGAGCCTGAAGAGCTCAGAAACTCATGCTGTGAATCCCAAAACTCAGCGCTTCTCTAAGAGCTGTGAAGATCATGACACTTTGTCACAATTTTGCCTGAAAGGGTCTTTTGCATGGGCACCAGAGCCAACCTGAGGTAAATTCCATGTCCTACTCTCTGGACATAATACTTCCCCCATGGCTCATTCCCTGCCCACTGGGCCAACAGCTGCAGGGAGCGTGCAGGACTGTGGCAGCAGATGCAGGGCTGCAGCACAACCTGATGGACCACACAGCCGTCGCTCTGTCTCTAGGCTGGGATTCCATCTCATGATCAATACCGTGTACATTAAGATCCACGAAAGACCAACTTTTAGGCAGTAATACTTTTTTCCCATTACCTGGGGGGAAAGTATGTAGTTGGTGCTTTCTTTAAATTCCTTTGTTTTGTTTCTGCAAGCTTTTCCCCTGGTATCATGGGAGGAACCTCTTAACCACATTGCTGGTGGGTAGATCCAAAGTATATATAATTGGCCAGTGGTACAGAGTATCTTTTCCTGGATTCATATCAGGGAAAGGTCCCTTGCCAGAGCTAACCTTCTCATATAAAAAGGGTGAGTGAGGGAGACTTGATTTTACTAAAATCATAGTTTAATATTACCATTTAGCCACAAATTAAGCAGCAGAATCTATTTTGATTGTGAAATGAGGATCTCCATTTAACCTGCCATCTAGCACAGCATACTATCAAATTTGATGCTTATTGATTGTGTGTCTTGACAAGCTCCTCTCTGGTGCTGAATTGGATTTGAATTCTTGGTGAGCGCCCTCAGCATCTCCTTGGGCTGGTCTGGGCCAGTAAATAGCTGCCTGAAGTGTTTATATATTATCATGGTCAATAGTTCAGTGGAATTTGTACATTTTTTGGTAACACTGGCATACGTGATGCCCTTGCAGTTCCTTTTCTGTTTGTAGTTTGTGACTCTAAAATTCTCACTGTTATGTGTGTTAATTTATGAAAATAAATTTTTTTGAAAACCTTTCAAATAACTCTCAAGGCTATTTTTTGTTCCTCATGGCTTGGTAAGAAGTTCAGCTTTTACCTGTAATGTCATGAGGTTGTTGGGGTTTTTTGTTTTTCTTAAAAAGACATTCCAAAGTTATATATCAAAACAAATATTATCCCTTCCAAAATGATCACCATTTTCTGAGGGGTGTCCTGTGCTCAGAACATGTGTAGAACTCCATCTTTAGGCTGGCCTTCAGAGCCTGCAATGGAGCTCTTTAAATCTACTCAGAGGTGGCAGATCATCTCTTGTGAGAGTATTTGGTATTTGAAAAAAGCCAATAGTCATTTTGATCTGAGTCATACCCAATTAAGTTGGCTTGCTGAGTTTTGCTGAGCAAGTATTTTAGGTGTGATTTTTAAATTGTGCGACTTTCTCACATGTCTGGGAAATAAAGGTCATAAGTAAATTCAGGTCAGAACAGGTTTCACATATTAACATATTTGGAATAAGAGCCTAGCTTACTAAGACTACTTGGGAGAGTATAAATACAGTGAGAAATGTTCATTTACTTTTGAAAGGTCTCACTTATTATCACCTCTCCTTCCTGTGGTACGTGAGGTTAGGCTATGAGTCTTCTTGTTCTCGACTCTAATGGAAACTGGTAAAAGAATGACTCTGAAAGCATAGCTTTCTCACACTACACTGATACGTTCCACAGAAAAGCGTGATTCCTGAGGATATTCTTTTATTCGGAGCAAAAGCAGTGCTCAGTCCCCCTCAGGACTTCTATAGCAAGGAATTCTATCCATGCAGTCTTTCCTATTTGAGGAGCATCCTGCCTGACAGCTGTGCTTCTTGTTAGGTTTCACGGTTAGTTAGGAAAGAGTACTCTCCTCTCCTGCACTCTTTCTTTAAAAGAGAGAGGTTAATTATCAATTAAGGCACTGTTCTTTCTTTAACATCACAGAATCGTAGCATTGTTATGGTCTCCTGAGAGTAAGAGAACTGGTCCAAACTGATTTAAGAATCCTCTGTATGGTGTTCTGCCCTCTTCCAGTGCTGGAGAATTCATTTCTGCACTTCATTCTGAGACTCTTCTTTTTAAAAGTGTTCTAGAAAATTCCTAATTCTTCAGCTACCAGGGTCATAAATGAGTCTCCCATAACATCTTTCTCAGACTTCCAGTGCATCCTCCCTTTATCAACAGCTGATTGCTTTGCTTTGCTTTTCACTGAGGAAGTGGAAGCAATTTGAATAGAACATCCACAGGGATGCTTTTCTGTTCCTTGAACAGACCAGGCATGCTCCCACCTTATGGTACGTGCACTTGCTGTCTCCTGTGCCCAGAATGCCCTTCCCTCACATTTCTGCCTGGTTCCCTGAGTCTCTTTATTCAGATCTTTGCCTTCCCAGATCACTCGAAATCATACTCCCTCCCATTCTATATCCTCCTTACGGTGCTTTATATTTTATAGCACTTACCAGCACTAATGTAAACTCCTTGAGGTCAGGGACTTTGTTGTATTCACTCTGGCCCCTTACCTAGAACAGTGCTTGATATACGAGTATACAGTAGGAGCTCAGTAAACACTTCATGAGTCGACTGGTTCTACCATTTGTTGCTGCACAGACCTGCCCAAGTCCTCTTCACCACGCCAGCTCTTCGAATATTTGAAGACCTTCTAATTCTTCTCACCTCTTCAATTATTCTACAAGTAACCTAGCTGGTAGCTGGCAGCTGTCCAGTCACTGGCGGCAGAACTGGGCACTTCCGGATACCAAGCTCCAGGTGCAGCCACACCCACTGCTGGCCCCACACTGTCTGATTGTCTGTAGCTCATAGGCAGGACGGGTCCAGCCGCGGAGTTGCCACATCGAAGGTGGCTCTGGTAGGGTCACCTACGCAGGTACGTGTAGGAGTGTTGAGGGTGGAGGCTCGCGTGGGTAAGACTCGTCTTAGGAATTTCTCTCCCTTTTCTTTTTTTTTTTTTTCCTTTTTGTCTTTTTTTCGTGACCGGCAACGGATCGCAACCCTCAGTGTCGTGCCCGTACCGGACCGGGACCGGCTACGGGATCGCAACCCTCGGTGTTGCTCCCGCACCTCGCTCAGCCAGTGAGCGGCCGGTCTGCATGTGGGATCCAAACCCTCGGTGGGAGCGCCGCCGCGCTTCCCAAGCAGCGCACTGTAGCAGTGCACCACCGGGCCGGCCCTTCTTTTGTGTTTTTAATCTCAGACTCTTGGAAGTGGTGAGATGGTCTCTAAAACAGTGCAAACTTGGGGGGTGGAGAAGATCCC